TTCAATGTTAAAAAATATTTTTTTATTTTTAAAGTTTAATTATTTTTAAAATGTTCAATGAATTATTTTATATTTATTTTAAAATATTAATAAAATAAATATAAATAATTATTTTATTAAAAAATAAAATTTAATTAAAAATAATTTATAGTACTTTCAGAAGTGAGTGTGCGTTGCGTTCTCATTTCTCAGTCAATGGATGCGTGTTGACTCCGCAACCCTCACCATTCCCTTTTTTCACCCTTTCCTTTTTTAACCTATCTATCTCACCATGTGTTTCTCTTTTCTCCATTTCCCATATTTTATTATTTTATTTTTATATATTCTTTCCATTTAAAAATATAACAAATTTTAATTAAATATTATATATTTTTAAATTAATAATAATTTTTATATTTATTTTTATTAAATACTTTATAATAAATATAAAATTATTAATTAATAAAATATTTTAAAAAATAATAATTACATCTTAAAAAATTAAAAATATCTTACATTTTAACATTTAATTTTTTAAAAATTATCGAAATATTTCCTTAATTCTATTCATACATTTATTGAAATATTTTTCACGTCCTCTAGAAATATTATCATACCGTTCGATACTGTTCTCATTAACTTTTGTCATAACATTTTAATTATATTCTTATTATAAAATAGGAGGAAAATTGTGCATTAACCGTGAATTGGAAAGATTATTCTATTTTTTTGTTCAAAACATTGTAATACGGACAATTTTTTTTTTTAGCTTGCAAAACACCATATTAACGTAGAATTGGAGGGAGTAGTTTCGTTGAAAATGTTGGGAGAAGAAAAACGTGCATTGCTTTCGGTATTTTCAAATGATAACACCCTCGTTTAATATTATAAGCTATTTTTAATCAAATTATACATTCAATAAATTAGTTAAATTTCTTTAAAATTACATAATTTTTTTATAATTATTTTTATTTACTAGAGTGTCTCAATTAATTAACCTAATTAATTAATTACAGCTATAATCAAGTATATTTTTGGAAAAACATTACTTTCTCTGTCAAAAAATATAAAACATTTTTTATGAATTATATTTTAAAAAACATAAGGTATTTTTAATATTTTCAGATGTAATCATTATCTTTTTTTAAAGTATCATTAATAAATAAATTGTTTTATATTTATTTTAAAATGAAACATTTTATTAACTAAGGGTATATATGAAAATTGTAAAGTTAATTTGAAGATAGGTAACTACTTTATTAGAAAAAAAGATTTAATTAAAAATTTCTTACATTTTTAAATAAAAAAATTATTAATTATACTTTAAAAAAATTAAAATACTTCATATTTTTTTAATGGAGGGGGTAATGTTTTATGACCCCTTTGAACTTTGTATAAGATATAATCTCATATTTTAGACATCCTTAAACTTTGAGTTATCTTCAAAAATCTATATAATCTTTAAATTATGTCAAGCAAAATTTTATCAGGTGTTGTGTACTGTGAGGGAAACGACATATACAGATCAAACCCAATGCAAATTATCTACATAAATTTAAAAGTTGGGGGGATTCATGATCAAATTTAAAAAGTCAAATATCGCATAACCATTCATAAAACTCCAACAAGATTTGTGTAATTGAACTTGAAAAAACTGTAGGATGGGCTACAGGGAGAGAGAAGCTGGGAGAGCCCCCACTTGTTTGATTAGTGTCACATTAATGGTAACCTTGGAGAGATTCTAAGGTTGAAAGCCATAATTGAGAAGAAACAATGATCAAAGGGAATATAATTGCAACACTAATTACTAGCACATGCTTGCATGAAAGAGTTTTGATGAGCCATTTTCAAAGTGATTTTGTTTACCAAATCCATATCATTAATTTCTCTTTATAAATCAATGGTCAAGCAGGATTTGATATTGCTGGTAGACCTCAAACACCGAATAATGGAAATATTAACACATGGAACAATGCTAACCACTTTATTTGCTTCTGTAAAAAGGATTAGTTTCACACCAAACTATGCAAGTATCTATCACTCGGTCGGTGCTTTATTTCAGATTTCAAATCTAATTACACCTAATTATTATTTAACGGGTTTCCTTCTATTTTCCAACAATCATGATTTGAAAGTTTATAGGGCACACCATAATTAATATTTAAAATTGCAGTTCAGTTGGATAAATGCATCTCACAAATGCATAGCACTAACTTGCATGAATTATGAAATTAATTTGATACATGCATTTTCGGGTTGAATTTCTAAAATATAATTCTTGCAATAAAACATTTTAATTAATATAACTCCTGCCACAATAACATCTTTTCACCTCTTGTAATGGTTGCAAGTTTAAATCCCAAAATGGATATGAAGAGTGTGCATGTTTTCATTCTATAAGAAAGATACATATCACAAGACTTGTAGGCTTCCATGGCATGTCTATATATTTTTTTGAAGTGTGAATTTCAGCTGTGATTATGGTTTGTGGTTGAAATTCAAGGATTAATTTAGCCAACAAACGGTTTGATTTGATTCAATAAAAGAAGAATTGAAGAAGATCGAACCCTAGATATGTACTATATATATACATAATAAAGTATGTTGGCCCAAATGAAATAAGCCCTTTATACCCAAAAAGAGAAAAAAACTAACGAGAGACTTACGGTCTTATACTGAGTTGACTGAGCCGATGCATGGAGGCCTGGTGCGAAGGAGGGTTATTCTATTCCCCCATTTACATTATATTAACTTTTTTGTATTTTCCAAGTGAGGGTAAAATTGCTGGTTAAAAAAGAAAGTGAGGGTAAAACCAATGAACCCTGTAAAAATTATAAATATTTAAAAAGTTTGATGTCGAAATAAAGAGAATTTGACTTAGTGTGCTTTTTATTTTTCTTGTTTGAATTTGTCAACAAGTTGTTTCTGATCAAAGCCACACGTTTATGATTCATGTATAAATAAAAGCCTTGCATTTATGCATGGAATTTTTAATATAGAATACAAAATCTTTTGGTAGTTTTACTATTTTTATGTGTTTCTTTTTATATTCCTTCAACATTTTTCACACTTTTCAATATAATTTAAAGATTAAATAAATAAGCGTTACCTTTGAAAAAAAAACTAATTTAACCCCCTATTACTTTATTTTATAAAGATATCTAATTATGTTTAGTTTAAAGATCTGATGAATATGTTCAAAGAAGAACTGGACTGTGTCCGCATTTGGACTCCCTTCTGACGTGTTATGGGCTTTGGTGTTATGATCAGAAGTAACAGATATACTTGTTAACTATTTATATGGGCCGAGGCCCATACATGCTAACCCACATAACGTCCGCATATTTCTTTGTATTGGCCCACTTAAGCCCATTATCAAGTCCATTTCCATTAAACATCATTTTGCAATATTAATCAAAATAGTATATCTTACCCAAAAAAAAAAAAAGTAGATAATTGTATCATAAGTATCATTGCAAGGTTTGATTCCTGAAAATGTATATGAAAAGACATTATTTGAGATTCTAAAGACTCCCCTTTAATGCCGCTATGGGGGGATACTTTAGACCAAAAAAAAAAAAAAAGCTGCTCTCTAAAGACTCCACTTTGATGCAGGTCAACTAACAGGAAGTTTTTAACTCCAGAAAAACTAATATATCACTGTTTATTCATTATTTAGTTACTATTCATGTATTTCACTTTAATCCAAATTCAAATTATTTTTATTGTACATTCACTACTCATTTAAGTAAATATTTTTTCTCTTTCTTTTTTTTTTCCCCTCAAATGCATGACATTTTTCGAATTATTTTACTTTGCAATATATATATATATATATATATATATCTTGAGCATCTCCTTCGATAAACTTGAAATGGTTTTTCGTTAATAGGAAAATGGGGGTCGTTACAGCCAAACTGTACGAGGGAGGAAAAAACAAACGAAAGAAAACTAATAAATTTCACAAACCACCCTTCCTTCAAGAAAGAGGGGTTGATAATGAAAGCACCAACAAATATTTAATATAATTGCATATTTGAGATTTGAACTTGAGATTACTGATTAAATTGGTACAATCCTTTATCAATTGAGTTACTTGTTTATTGGTAAACATAAAATGTTATTAAATGTAACTATCATGCTTAAAAAATACAATTGAAAATAAAATTTTTTATAATCACAAGTTTAAAGGAAGAGTTCATTCAAAATAGTACATGTTTATCTTATAAAGCACATGCTTATCATGCAAAGCTCTTTGATGTGGAGCTTATAATAATGTACTACCATTGAAAAGTCAATATCTCGACAACTCATTCTATCCCACTTCATTCAAGTTTTGATTAGTTAAAATCTTTTGCAGGTAACTTTTTTTATAATACTTATCTCTCAATAAAAGACCTAATGTTATAAATAGAAATTTTAATAAAAAAAATTTATCCTAAAAGATTAACTTTTTAGGAGTTAAAACACCTCACACTTACCTTATGAGATTTCTGGATAACAAATTTTATATCAACCTATATATTTTGTCGCTTTTAAAGATAAAACACATGAGGATAAATTGTCTAATTTTCTGTAGCCATGGGGTTTCGCTGCCAAATTGAATTTCCTTCCGTCGACTACGATATCCAGAACCAAAGTCAGAGTTTTAAGCCCAACAAAAAATTGCATTCTTGACAGAAAAATTTAATTAAAAGTAATAAAATTAAATTTTAATAATTCACCTAAATCTAATTGCACCTAATTTAAATTGAATAATGAGAGAGCAGTAAATGATTTTTGCTTGGCGTTGAGGGTCCCAAGAACATGATAATCTTGAATGTACCAATTGGAGAGAAGTAATAGATATGAGCAATGAGTGGCACATGGAGTGGGAAATTGAAATCTGAAATGTAAACCACAGGAATCAGATTCTGAGGAATCCAGGTCAGCCTATGAAGTGGCAGAGAGGCGGCTTCATATCCGATTCTGCATGCCACGTGGCACCCCTCCCGTCCAATTACTACTTCCCAATCCTATCTTTCAAGATAAGACGAACCACCAGGCTTCACCTCCTCAACAAATTTACACTTCTTCCTCCCACATTCATCCCATCACATTCATCAACCATCGTTGTCCGGCAATCATGGCTTCCGCTTGTGCTTCCTCCGCCATCGCCTCTGCCGCAATCTCTACCCCGAGGCAAGTTCTCTTGTACCTCTTTTCTTGAAGATGCCGTCTCTGTCATGGACATTACTTTTCTCAAACATGTGGTACGCGTGTTTGGTTATGAGAATCATGTGAATGAATGATCTGTTGAATGCAGTTCCCAGAGGAATGGAAGCATCTTGGGAACGAGGACTTCGTTTCTGAGTGGGAGGAAGTTGAAGGTGAGCAAGTTTACAGTAGGAGGACGATCCGTGAGTAGTAGAGTGTGCGCTGCGGCGGCTGATCCTGACAGGCCTCTCTGGTTCCCAGGAAGCACCCCTCCTCCATGGCTCGACGGCAGCCTCCCCGGAGACTTTGGCTTTGATCCTCTCGGTCTTGGTAAGCCCTCTTTCAAATCGATTTCATGTCACTTATATCTCACATACATGTTGCTTTGCTTGAGGTTGCAAGATATAGTAGATATGCTATAGCACCAAGCACAGCATGTTGCCTAAAATTTAAGTCATTATGACCTAAATGATAGTATATCTATACCAAATCTCTTTGTTTTTATTTATCATCCCGTTGAGCCAAAGTGATTCTTGAATCCTGACTATTACTGTTATTGGACTTTCATATGGCTTGTTCAACAAGATCATGATAAAATCATATACGAAATTCTTTTCAACAAATTTTATACCATGTTTGGTAGGTAGAAAAATTTTTGCTAGGAAGAAAATAGGACATGCATCCATTTTCTTTCTAGTTACATCTCCTTTTTTCTTTATGGAAAAGTCAAGAGTGTACTGGATTGATTGTCATTGAATCAGTTTTATGTAGTAGTATGGCAATATTTACTTGTTTGGAAAGGAATTGACAGAAAGTGGATTTGGGTTGATGTGATAGGATCTGATCCAGAGAGCCTGAGATGGAACGTTCAAGCAGAGCTGGTGCATTGCAGATGGGCAATGCTGGGTGCTGCTGGGATTTTCATCCCAGAGTTCCTAACAAAGATTGGCATTCTCAACACTCCTTCTTGGTACTCTGCTGGAGAGCTGGAATACTTCACAGACACCACCACACTCTTCATCATTGAGCTTATTTTCATCGGATGGGCTGAGGGAAGAAGATGGGCGGACATCATCAAGCCTGGGAGCGTCAACACCGACCCTATCTTCCCCAACAACAAGCTCACAGGAACTGATGTTGGGTACCCGGGTGGGCTTTGGTTCGACCCACTGGGCTGGGGGAGTGGCTCACCTGAGAAAATAAAAGAGTTGAGAACAAAAGAGATTAAGAATGGAAGATTGGCCATGTTGGCTGTGATGGGTGCTTGGTTCCAGCACATTTACACTGGTACTGGTCCTATTGACAACCTCTTTGCCCACTTAGCAGACCCTGGCCATGCCACCGTTTTTGCTGTAAGTTCAACCAAACTGTTCTACATCTGACTTGTTCATAATTAATCTCTTCAAATTACTCTTTATGACCTGTTTAGAAAAAGCTCTGAGTTTTTGTTTGTTTGGCTGACATTATGTTTGGCTTTTGGCTGTGACAGGCTTTTTCGCCCAAGTGAGGAGGCTGGGAATATCTCAGGGGGGAGAAATACCGGTGAATGTGTGTTTTCATTGTAAAAGGGTTAATATGTTTGAAGTGAAGAGATTGTAATGTGTCTTTTTCTATGTGGTGCGCATAGTGATAGTCCAATCAATGTACAAATACTTATTTGGAGTTAGATGCCATGAATGTGAAAGTTCACGTAGCATTCACATTGATTTGCACAGTATAATACTATAAACCTTTTCACATTAGTTTTTCTTCCGTGGAAGAATCCTGGAAAAGTTATGGAAAGTGAGCACAATGGATGACGTTTATGCTTCAAATTCATAATATAAAACAACGGTTGGTGGTTGTAGGAGTCAAGGGCACTAGAATAACTGAATTTTAACCTAAAAATTAAAGAAAAATGCAGTGATCTTGAATATGTGAGGATAACTCATTCACATTAACCAGTCAACAATGGAGATGTTGGGGAGGAAGAGGAAAAGTCTCGAAAGAGACATTTTAAAATATTTTAAAATTTTGTTGAACATTTAAAACGTGCACAACATGGCTGTTTGAATTTTATGCAGAAGGGTCTGTCCTTTTCCTTTTTCGTGGGGAACAATCTAAAAAAGCAGCCACACAGAACTATGATTGAAATTTCATTATGTTAAATAGTTACTAGCAAGTATTTTTAATATTGGCCAAATATTGTTGTAAGTTTCAGAGAATTTTAGATATTGGAGAGATTCATAACTACGTAAATAACTGTTTAAACTTTGACGAGCTCTTGAAGAATTATAGAATTAGTAAGCACTGGCATGAAATTTAGCTAATCATGATTGAAAGGTTCCACAGTTGAAGGAATTTAGATTCATGTTTTATAATGAAATGTCATATTCCAATGAGATAAGCAACCTTTAAATAATAAAACATCTCCTTCATGAGACCGAATCGTGTAACGATATAATCATATCCTATAATGCACTGATGTTAACAGCTTTTTATTAGATCTGTTCGGTGGCAAGAAAATGTTGACCTTATTTTTATAAATCACAACTATTATTGAAAGGTAAAATCTTCACAGAAGTACTGAATGGCTAAAAGACACTTACTAATCTTAAAATTCATTCTTTTTCTTTCTAGCTGTAAATGTGAGGAATTCATTGGTGAATGATCTATAAATATTTAGACAAGTGTTCTTAAAGTTTATAAATATGTTTTGACTTTGGTGAACCTTGGGATTTAACTCACAAACTTTTGTTTTTATAAAAAATTGAAACGTTTAGTTTTGGTCAAAATAAATAATATGAAGTTACTTTGTCTTGAAGAAGAATATAAAAAAACCCATTTTTAAATGGTTCAAACGGCTTTGGTTCTATATTTCAAATTTTAGGGGGAAATATGCAGAATTGGATTTTGACGATACTTGAATTTGAGTTAAAAAAAATAATGTTTTACCTTTTAATAATTAGATCAAGTTAGATTGTTCAACTAGTTCAACCATCACGTGCTCTAGCAATGGCTTGGGTTCATGCTTTGAATTGTTTTATGATTGAATTGTTTTGAATAATTTTAAAATGGATATTGAATTAGAAACCAAAATAGAGCTTGAAACCATACCATACTTTTGAAAATTAAACTAAAATTATCTTCCCCAAAATACCTTGCTATATGAGTTTGGAGTTTACATATAGCTTGGATTTTACTTTCAATGTTTGAGTTGTTGTTATTTGAGCTCATTAAGTCATTGCAAAATTAGACTTTTTTATTATACATAAATTATTGATTAAGTTGTGAGATATTAATTAATTTATTTTCTGATAGATACATTATTGTATTGTTTTTAATTTAATTAGTGACATTTTCAATTCAATGTGGGTTCAATTCTTAAAATATTGTTAAATAGTGGTATAAGAAAAATAAAACCCTTTAAACTAAATAAATGTTAAAGCATACATACTCCACTCCTTAATATTACCTCATTTTCAAGTATAAGAGAAACAACCATATATTTCTTTGTTAAGCAAACTTACAAATTTCAAGAAACATTAATTACATTTTCCCCAGATTATCACTCATAAATAGATATAGATAATATCATAAAATTAGAGGAAAAAATAAACATTAATTATAAAAATATTTTAATTCAAATATTTCAATTTTATATATAATTATTAAGATTAACCAATTTTTTTTAAAATTGTGAGTTAATTGAAATTCTTTCACATTAAGAAACAAAAGGAGTATAAGATATAGTTAACAAACTTCCCATTTATTAAGAAATGCTAATTATAACTTTGCAATTGTAAAACAATTTGTAACTTTCAAATTTTATCCTCATTTATAATTAATAACAATAATAAATTATTATTTAGAAATTCAAATGATAAAAAATAAATAAGGAATAAAGTTGAAAAAATATTAATTACACTAATTTCACCTTACATTTAGGACCAAAAAAAGAAACACTTTTAAACTTGGCGTCATATTAAGGATTAGATAGTACATAAAATGGCACTTCCAAGCGTGCATTTGGAAGCCAGCTGATGACAGGCACAAGATTACATCACCAAAAGGGGAAAATTGAGTAAGAGAGCCATCCATTCACCCAATTTGCTTATTGTGGTTAACAGTACAAATCCACTCTCTATTCCTCCAATCCTTCATTTGGTCATTGCCCCAACTAATTATTAATTAAACAAAGTTAGCGTCCTCCAACATTCAAACAACACATGATTAATTTCTATCTATATTCCAATTTTCACCACTCAGGCTAACACTCACTTGATTAGCTTGCCGCATGAGAAACAGATAATATTATAATATTGAAAAACAGGTTAACTCAACTTGTTGAACCAAAAAATCAAAATGTTGTGTCTAATCATTCTTCAAGGTTTTGATCGTTAATACTTAAATTAGGACATTCAATGATCGATTTTCAGTGGTTTGGATGGTTTGGATAATATGTGCTTGGAAACAGGTTAAAACTTGTACCCAAAACCCAAGTTCCAAACCATGGTTATGCCTTTTCACAGCCCTGCCTTCAAACACGTCACAAATCAAACACAGCATTGATTCAAAAACCATGTTCTGAAATTGAAAAATTGAAAACCATTCGTTTCTTCAATTTCATCAGTTCCATAAAGAATCCCAAATCTTTGTCAGTGAAGTGAACAATTGATTACTTCCCGAAATAAACTCCACTAGAAGTTTTCTTAACCACGAATCTCCTTATAATAACCTAAACTAGAATGCTAACATAAAATCCCCAAAATCTATTTCAAATGCCATTTACTTTCTATAAAGTAATATTCTTCAACCATTTGGGGATTCCCAGCAAAAATTTTAAAAATACAAGAAAAAAACTATGATTTCAATCTATATATATATATATACCTAGAGAAAAGAGGGTGTGAGATTGATCTATCTAGGAATAATTACGGATCTGCCACGGCGAAATTTGGAATCGGACCGGCGAATCAGTGGGTGCCGCGGTTTGGCGGGCGAACGATGAGCTTTGAGGGTAAGGGCCGTCCGGTTCCGGAGCCGCCACAACTGCTGCACATCATGCGACCCGAACCGGAACAAGTGCGGCAGCCGACGTCGCCGTCGGACCAGCGAGAGCAGAGGCAGGAGACTTGGCCGGTCCCGTTGCAGGACGGGCAGCGCGTGAAGGGTCCGGCCATGGGCTTCTGGTCCATCACCGATTTGACCAGGACGGCTCCAGCCAGCACTCCCAGGCCCGTCACCAATTGGGTCGCTACCATCGGACCCATCTGCCCTGAAACACAGACTCTGGAGTTTGGAGAACACAGAAGATGAAGATGAATAAGAGAGTAATTGGGAACAAGATGATGAAGAAGAAGAAAGGTCTTGGGACTGCTGGGGTTAATATTGGTATTGGATTGTGATATTTAAAAGAGAAAATTAAAAAATAATAAAATAAAAGTGGTGGTGGAATTGTACACGTTGACGTGTTTCACTTTGATGGCTAATGCTAACAGGACTTGTTTGTTTGGAGCTTTGTGGGGGGAGAGAGATATATATATATATATGTTTGTTTGTTTGTTTTCCGTTTTTTTTTTTTCATATCTTACTCATCTCGTATATTCGGGATTTTTTTTATTTGAATTAAGTCTAAATGTGGTAGTTATTATCATATAAAAAAAATATGATTTGCATGATTATTTAAAAATTAATATTTTTGTTGCTAAATTATCTTAATATTTGAAAATGGAATAATCTTGCTAGGATTTTCATAATTTATTTTTGCCTTGGTCATGATAATGATAATTGATAGGGATAATGCATTCTTTGCTTGGAAGGCTGGATTTCTTTTAACCGTTGGAGATACTTCAAAGAGAAAGAAACCAAATCCCTAAAAAATATCTCATATTTGGAGATAAAGAGGTTATTTTGATAAATATGATATGGTCATGAAGTCATGATCCGATTTTTTCGTTTTCGCATAAAATTACAAATTTATCCTCCTCGTCTTGATTGTTGAGCCAAGGCCAAGGGTTATGTTTAGTTCTTTTGTTGAGATCTATAGTAAAAAATTATCGGAAAAATTGCGTCTAGATTCCACTCTACGAATAAATTTAAATGTTCCCTTCCCACGGCAAATTAAAAGCTTTCTAGAGCATTATTGTTTTTGGTCATTTTTAATAAAAAATGTTGACTTTACGTTCCATTCACACGAACCTTTTTGTATGATTAAATTAATTAATACTAATGAGTGAAAATAATGTTTCCAGTTTCCCACCCAATCTGCAGCTGTGCACCGATTCAATGAGATTAGATTAAATAAAAGCTATATTGCTGCCGAATTAACAGGCATCTTGGAAGGAATTAAATTTTGTTGCAACGTTAAGCTATTTACAGTTAATATCTATTCAGACAAAAAAAAAAAATCTGCTTGATTTCCTAAAAACTTTGGGAATGTTTGATTTCTATTCTCATTTTTTATTTTTAAAATTTGTTTTGCAATATACTTTTTAAAATTATTTTTTAAAATAAAATAAAATGAAAATTTTTTTGGTTATATTAATTTAAAATCTGTTTTAAAATTAAAAATTAAATTAATAATGACTGTTATAAACAGTTAATAATGGTGATTTATGATAAAAAATTTTAAAATAATTATAATTTTTAATAATAAAAATGAGAAAATTATAAGAATAAAATAAAAGCAACTTGAGGTTGTTTTTATTTTATTATTTTTAAAAATAAAAAATGAAAGCAGTTTTAAAAATAATTAAATCAAAAACATTTAACCAGACAAGTTTTAAAATTTTTCTGTTTTAAAAAATAAAAAATAATTTTAAAAAGTGGAAAACAAGCAAACCCAAATTTGTCGTTGATCCAACATGATTTCTCCTGGACTCACTCTTTCTTAGAATCTATTAAGAAGATTAGAAAATTCACCATGGAAGATTGGATTATCAATTTTGATCATATATTTAAATTTTGAAAAAATATATCGTTCTACTTACTAACTACATATTTATCAATAATATTAACTTAATGATCTTTGCTGAACCACCCATTAAGTGTAAAAATATTATGTGCTCTAATATAATATGATTGGATAATTTCTTCATTTCCTGCGGATTCCTTATGGTCATGTATTCAAAAAATAATAATAAAAGCTATATTATGTGATTTCTCCCCTCCTTCCATTTTGGTGAACAATAATGTTAATGAGACACATTTTTATGCATTTATTTTTTTAAGATTATTAGACGTATTATTTGTTAATGTCGGTAAATATTCTGGCAGTAGCCTGGACTCAAAGAACAAGATGTTTACACAATTTTGTCTTTTTTTTTTATTTGTTTTTGTTGATTTCTTAGGGCTCTAACTGGTCAAAAGAAAGACATTTTATCCATGACCAGTGAATATTATATGTTAATGTAAGTTTAATATGATCATAAATTAATTCCTTCAAGTTATGTTCATTATTTATTAGGCAATACTAAATCAAAATTAGAAGCTTTTCGTTTTGGTGGTTTCATGGTCATATGGACAAAAAATAGTTGGCGTCAAAGCAAGACCGTGGAAGCCACAAGGCAAGGCAAGTGAGGCAATTGCCTTATCTATATATTGTTATATATTTAATTGTACATAAAAAAAATAAAAAGTATTAATTGTTCTTTCTATTAAAAAATTCCAAACATTTTTTATATAACATTAATTATTGAGCTAAGTTCATTATCTACGTAACGAAAGAATTGTTAAATTCATAATACATTAGTTTATACTACATTAGTTTGCTTTAAAGTCCTCTCATAATCTCACTTTTCATTTTCTCCTTTTCTTATTTTAAAGCTTAAAAAATTGACAGATATTAGTATCAAGATCTTGTATAGTTTTAGACCATCAATACAGCACTTTTAAACCTTATTAAAATCTTGTTCATAATTTATATAATTATTATTAGTTTTTCACACTAATCATTCATATTATTAGTCTTAATTATATTTTTTTTGTTAAAAATGTATTGCCATCTCATATTAGTGTTAATATTCTATCTTAATAAATAAGATGGGGTAGAAGCACTTTACCAATATTAATTTTTATTTAACTATTAAATTAATTTAGTAATTTATTAGAATCTCTATATTACATAATTTTAATAAATAATTTTATAAAAAATGATGAGTGAATTTTTTTTTGAAGGGACAGTTACAGATGTTAGATTTTATAAATAATTTTATCTTAGATCTCAAAATATCTTCACACGGCCCTGCGTCAAAGGGATGTGGACAGGTAACTACAATGGCTCAAATCTTCGTGATGCGTAAAGAGAAAACGGGCAGAAAAGAAATGTGAGGACTGAGGAGTAGATTTCTTTTTTGACCGGAGAGAAAATCGAAGGTTTGAAAAGTTCACAAATGCGAATCGGACTTGAGTCAAATTGCCCCGGAAGATTCTACTTAATTTCAAAGCAATTGTTCACGCAGAAGAGTTGAACTCGTCTCACAACTAAATTGAGATCCTATCTCTTCCTATTTTTTTGCCCGTGGTAATTGAAGAGGTTATTGCCAGTGTAATAATATGTGTAATATTAGGGAGATCAAATATAGAATTAGAAAACCATTTCATCGGCAGTGGAGATGGCCGAGTTGGTCTAAGGCGCCAGATTAAGGTTCTGGTCCGAAAGGGCGTGGGTTCAAATCCCACTCTCCACATTCCTACAATTTTTATTTCCTCTTTGGTCCCTGTGTTTGAGTTTAGTTGGCACTTTGCACCCCGTGGACACAAATTGGGCATGAAATCGAAGGCCCATATATGCTTTAGGCCCAATTATATTGCAACGAAACGCTGGGAATGGTCATTTTGGGCCAAGCATGTGCGACCCGTCCTAATATTGTTCCCAGGAAAAATTGCTGCCTTTTATTGTAAGATATTTCAACCAAGTTAACACACAATAACCAATAACTACATGAATTTTCAATCAAAACTACGTATTTCTCATATTGTAATTTATAAAATTGCATATGTATTTCTTCTAATAAGAAATCTGATGTATATCTTAAAATGAAAAAACTACTGGAAATAGATAGCAATCAATATATATATATATATATATATCATGTAATTATAAATAAAATTGGAAAATTTATAAGCCTTGAAGCATGTGGTTCACCTCAAACTAAATGTTAATAGTATAAAGGGGGACCCAATTTAGTTTTGTTTGTTTAATTAGGAGAGTTGGGTTCTGATGGCTTGCTTGGACGAGGGCATGCCTCCAAATTTAAAAAGCACATATAGAAATACTTTTAAATTGCCACCAATAAGTTCTTGACATTGACAACGGGATTTGAATTAATGATCTTGTAAATTATTGGCCAAATCATTTGCAATTGACAAACACCATTTGAGAATTTAGTCATTTGCACATCTAATTGCCATGCAATGTGAATGAAAGAGAGTGAAATGTTTGATATAAATAAGTGAACTTCTGCAAAGGAACTTGTGCCAAAACCTTTCCTTCATGTATAAGGAAAATAGCAAATAAATATAATACTCAAATCCTTGTTCTTGTTGAAACTAGAGCTAGCCGTACTAGAGTAGATAACATGGTCAAGAAGCTTGGTTTTTCAAATTGGATTCACATTGAAGCCACTAGTTATGCTGGTGGTATTTGGATGCTTTGGAATAATGATGTGGAGAATGTTGATTATATCTACTCCACTATCCAACTTCTTCACTATAAAGTTTATCACCTTTTGAAGAAAACCTCTTATCTTCTTTCTTGTATCTATGGTGACCCTAATCCTTACTATAGTGAGCAATTATGGAATTCTATAAATGATCTTGCTAGTACTATTTCTGATCCTTAGCTTATTGTTGGTGACTTTAACTCATATCTCTCTTGTGGTGATAAGTGTGGAGGAAGTGGGTATAATTGGAGGTCTATGAAACTTTTTAAATAATGCATAAATTCCTCTAATCTCCTTGAACTCAACTTTACCAAAGATAGATTCACTTAAGGAGAGACTTGACTGGTCCTTCTATAACATTGAATGGAGACTTAAATTCAACCAAGCTAACACCTTTCATCTCCTTAAATATCACTCCAATCATCACCCAATCAGAATTCAACTTGAGAATACGGTTAACTTTAAAGTTCACAAAATACCTTTTAAATGCCATACTGCTTGGAGGATTGAAGAATCCTTTCAATCTATAGTTAAAGATTTTTGGATTGAGAAAGATAGGAAAGAAGGTGCCTCAAAGTTTGCTACCTCTGCTACTTCATTGAATAAAAAAATATAGGTAGTATTATAGCAAACAAGAAAAGGATTTTAAGAAGGCTTGAAGGAATTGATTGCAATAGAAACATTAAAGACAGGTATTTTTTAGAAAAATTGAAAAATCTCTTTGGG